TTATAAAGTAATTAATTTATTCTTTTGTTTTTATATTTTGTTAATTATTTTTTATAAATATTTTGTTTGAAATATTAAATAGAAATTATTAATGGAAATATTATTAATGTACATTAGTCGATATCTTGTTGAAATTAGTTGACATCCTGTCGACATTAATCGACATCCTATCGACATAATAGGAAAAACTGCATTTTTTTTGATTATTTGGACCAATTTGGTCGACATTTCCGAAATATAGGAAATGTCAACCGAAATAATGCAATTTTTATATTACCATCCATTTTCATGTCAGTGAACCTCGACATCGACATATGTCGGGCGACATTAGCGACATTTGGCGACATTTGAAACCATGGGAGGAAGGCAGGGCAAAGTGTTCTCTTTAGTCCCAGTCATCGTTGGCAGGAGGAAGTTTGGGTCCTTTTTGCCGCCGGCTGAAGTTCCGTCAGAGAGTGTGACGTTAGATGACAGACCATTGAAGTTCATAGGCACACTGGAACCCCCTGTTCATCCTTCAGCTTAGTGGGTGGGATTTTCAAATTTCAAACCGAAGTTGAGCTCTTTAGGCGTTATGGGAAATTTTAAGCTTGACCTGTTTCCATTTTGGGGACCGGTTCGCCCCTTACGAGTTAAATCGATTTTGTGTTATGGCCCACCCAAAAGCCAATAGACGGGCTTGGGCCCGCCTAGAGTTGCGTTGAAGCCTTGCTCTTCTAACCTCTCCAAACATCTAATACCCTTGAGTTCCATCTGGTAGAGGTTCGAGTCAATCAAAGGCCCTTCTCCTGATCCCTCCAACTGTAGTGGAGTCCAAGAAATTTCCAGGCTCAAGTGTATTGGTAGGTAGTAGCTAGGTTCGACATCTTTCTTGTTCCAAGGTGAGTCCAATCTGACAGGTGACCTAGAGAGTGAGCCTCTTGTCAATGTACAAGAAGATGCAGTAAGACATGTGCAGGATGTTGTAGCAGACCAGGTGGATAAAGCGACATGCCTTGGAAAGTTTCTCGGGGTCTCCTTTTCGGCTGATCAAGAGTCGAATGCTTGGGAGTGGCTTAAAGTTAAGTTTGCTGATGAGGTGAAGATCCTTAGCCCCTAGGATGATCCCTGTTTCTGGTTGGATGAAGAATCAGAGACAGAAATTTCGTGGTCGGATTACTCTTCTAGCTCTTTGATATTCCCCTTTGGAAGTAGAAAGTCCAAATTGCTGGCAGACTACTATGATGTGAAGGTGGTTAGTCCTCCCTCTCGTGATGTCCGATGCACCTGAGGGAGAGGTAGAAAAGGAAGAAGTAGGAATATCTCGCTGTGCTAGGGGTGTCGTCTTCTTTGCCCTCTTGTTTGGTTCTGGTCCTTAGCAGTTTGGTGCTATCTGTGTTTCGCTTTGTTCTAGGTGTTTCATTTGTTTTTCACCTGTGACCTGGCATAGTGGTTTTTTTGGGTTGGGGTGATGTTTTGGAGTTGCCGGGTTGAATTATGTTTCTATCAAGTATTTCCTTTTGTTTTTCAATTTCTAATTTCTGGAAATGTGGGTAACAATATGGCCTTACATTTATTGGTGCTGCACTTAGCAAGAGTGGGATGTGGTGGTCGTGTTGTTGTTGTGGGGGCAATCCTTTTGGTTCTTCAATGACACTCGTGTACTATTTAAGGAGCTGTTGGAGCTGGTTGTGGTAATCCTCGGGTTCCTTGGCCTGGCTGGTTCTGGCTAGTGTTGGGCTGGTCTAACTAGAACCGAGTTGCATGAAGATGGGTTGGCTAAGACCCCCAACCTGTTTGGATAAATGTGGCTAGACTGATGGGTCTAGGCCCTTTTACAATCTGTCCTTGTAGATGAATTGCTGACCCACCCATGTGGAAGTCCATAGTCAAGCGAGCCCAATCGCAGAGAACAGGTCCTAATTGCTTCAACTACCCAATCTCCAGAACACATCAGTCCCACTAAATTCAAGCGGGTACAAATCTACTAATTGACCTTTGTGCTTGCACATATACTATCACAAGGCAAATTGCTTCCATTTGCTACATGTATAGTGAATACTGATCTGAACTGTAAGTCTTAACTTTCTTACCAAGGTCTGAGTTACAAAATTGAGAATGCTGCCATTGACTATCAAGATTGATATGTGGCGGCCCTGGACCAGTCCTTCCACTCTCATTGTTTGGGTAGAAGCAAGGCTGTGAGAGCTCGTAAGGAATAAGGATATTTTTGCGGTAGTCTTTGACCAGTGATCTAGCCCCTGATTGCAGGTTGTTTCCTCACTGTTGTTTGAATGAAAAGTTTGGGCTTGGGCCGAAGCTGTTAGGCCTTACCAAAATCCCTTCTTCTT